TTTTTATACGATCATTTATTTTTTATATTTATATAAAAATTAACCCCTTACAATAAAAATTGGATTTGTTTTTCACCCTAAGGGGTGAATATTTTTTTAACCCCCTCAAGACAGCAATGTTCAAAGTATGTAGCTGTCACTTAGTGACAGTGACATTGTATGGCAGATGACCACTTTTGGCTTTCAGAAAAAAAAGATTAAAATGTTAGGTTTTAGGCCTAGTACAGAAAAAATTCTAAAATCCTGGGGATGTGAGGTTTTTCCAAATAAATGAATGTAGTTATTGTATTTTTAGCTGTGCTGTTTTTGTAAAAAATACAAATCAAAACTGGGGAAAAAGTGTGTACGTTTTTTTTCTTCTCGTTTCATATTTTATTTGCCCTAAGTGAGGCGTTAGGTACACATATGTGATATAAATATATAGCCCTATCTGTCTTCTAAAAAACAATATATAATATGTGTGGGTGCACTTTGTAAGAAAGCATATTACTGACATATAGAATCACACAGCAAAAATGTAAAAAGTGCGTCAGCCATTTACAAACAGAAACGAAAAAACAAACTTGTTTTGGTATTCTTTTGCTACTGGTGAGTCACCGACCTGGGATGTGTACATCAGGCATTGCAACACCCAATACACACATGCTTGTACAAGGTAATTATTGAAGAAAGGATTAAAGAAGGATTAAAGACAGCCCTTGAGCATGCACCTACAGAAAACACAACAGCCGTTCCTATATTTCTATCCTGTCATATTCCCATGGAGGAATTAAAGCAAACCTGTCATGCATAATACATTTATAGAACACAACATGGCTAAAAATGATGCCTGTAGTACATTTGCAATTTCCCAAACTGACTTTAAAGGCATAAGAACTTCAAAACCTGGGGCAATTTAGACATGGACTTAAATTTCTGCTGCAAGCTGGAGCCAATTTAATGCCAGAACCTCAGCAGCTAAGAGGTCACAGGAACGCGTAAAACACGTTTAACTGCTCAGTAGTTTAAAATGTATTTCCATGTTGGCAGCCAAATTGGGATAACACCTATTTTATATTTGTTTAATGTTCGCAATCAATAATACCTAAAAAGGCAAGCATTAACTTCATATGTTCAAGTGCTTTTTACATGCGTAAAAATCCTACCCCCCTCCCCCCCCCCATATAATGTTAAAGTATCTAGCGGTACGAAACCGCTAGATTCCGCATGTTCGCGGCTATATAATGGGCGCAAATGAGAGGAATCGCGGATTAAAAATGTTAACGTTTTCGTCGGTCGACGTCTTCCGCACAGAAACCAGTGCGGGAAACGCAAACGCTATAGGTGAATGGAGCCTTAGATGTGGCTGATGTACCCTTTCAAGTTAACGACTGGGTGACAGCGGCCGCATCGGTAAGCTGCAAGGGGTGCAGTAAGCAACTACAAAAGGAACTTTCAGTTTCATAGGAGGTGGAGCTCTGCCCACTTGCTTGTCACTTCATAGTGTGAAATGTTACCCCAAATAGAATGAAGATTAACAGATCTGTTACTACACTGTATTGTGTGGCTGAGAACTTGTCAGAAATATCCTAACAGTGAAAATATGAAAATGTTACTTTATCTGTGGTCCTCAAGCCCTACACCAAAGAAGTCATTGTTTCCATGCACTGCACCAATGATGGGCCAAGAAGCCTGAAACGACTGTATGCAGCATCTGTACTACGCTCAAGCTGTTCTGGATGTGCAGTTAGCGATTGGGGAATAAAAGAATGATTTGAATGTCTCTGCCCACTTGGATATGTAAAGGAAAGTGTTCTAGGAAGGCTCTAGCATGCTACACATTAGCAAAGGCTAATCATTTTAACTATTGTTATAGTCTAAAAAATTAAATCATTTGAAAAATGTTCCTATAGGGGAAATAATGTGCCAACAGAAATGGAGAAATCAAGATTTTCAAATGTTTCATAATCCTTTGGAGAACTGAAAATCACTTGAACAAGAGTCAGTACTAAAGGCCTATTTCACTGAACTGGAAACTTCCCTTACAATATAATTAGAAGTAAAATTGGCCATCAATTGCATGCGTCATGAAGAGTCTAATCGCAAGAATTTTGCATAGTCGTCTGTCTTTGTTCCTCTAGTACAAGGACATAATTTGTTTCTCCAGCCTGATTAATCTACAGAATAGATAGTGTGGGCTGCATGACATCACTTGGCTTGCAACTGGCTACAGCTGTTGGGTGACCTGCCCATTCTGGGGGCAATATATCAGCACTGGAAATCACTGACTAACAGGCAAGTGGATGCTTCCATTCACAGGTGCCTGATAAAAATGGTTTTGGTGTAGTAGGTGTTTTAGTAAAAGTATACATAAGTAGCAAATAGTTTAATTCAAAGTAAAATGAACTGCAGTTGCAACAGCTATACACAGCTTGAAATACTTTCTCGGGTAGTACATTGAGAAGCAGACTGCTTGTGAGAAGATTAACAAGCCCATCAAATCTAAGCTCAGTGTACAGTGTACACTTTTTTTTGGGAAAAGTATACTAAAAAAACTTCTGACATCAGCCTTAGAAAAAGTCTGTCTCACCTGATGGGTCAAACATTTGGTATCCAAGTTCGTCTTGTACTAATAAGTCCATTCCATTTGCCGCAGTTTCCTCTAAATGAAGACCATTACTGTTCACTTCACAAGAAGCGGAATACATTACTTCAAACGGTTTACAAGCCTCGTTCAGACTTTCTAAATTGCCTACATAAAATGAGGGGGAAAATAAAAACCTATTATAACTTATTATACTCTAATACCCTTTTCCTATTATATTATACAACTGTTCAAGTGGAAACTTAAATACACACAGAACACACAACTTCACAGTTTTATCCAAATAAAGGTTTTGGTACTTTCTGGCAAAGCAATATAACCTCAGCTTCAGTGCTTCCCGAGTAGGTTCCCTGTTCATTGGAGAGTTGATATCACCAATTATCCAATGTGCAGGCTGAAGGCATAGGTGGAATCTAAAGCGGCACAGCCGAACCAGGAAAATAAGCATGCCAACTGCAGCAGAGCTTCATAACTCACAGAATTAACACAGAATTACAAATTCCGTGGCAGGTAAAACCGTAAACATGTACTTTATGCATTTAGTAGTTTGCTCAAAGTTTGTCATACAAAGTGCAATTTTACATTGTGAGCATTGACAGACAAGTGCTTTTCACTATCGCTTTAAAGCTGAACTCTGGGTAGAAATATTGTCTATTTTGGGGATTTATTACCTTGAATGAATGTGTTTTGCTTTCCATTCATAGGTAGAGTGAAGCTTAAGAACAAAACAAACCCCACCATACTTTTTCTGGTTTATTGGCCCAAGGTCCCCCTTCCATCTGCCCTCTTATCGCCCTGGTTTCAGTCACTTCCTGCTGTAGTTCTATTTCGTGCCATCAGTGATGGAATTATATTCCAGTTCAGTGTAGTGGGCAGACCTGGAAATCTCAGGCTTAAGGTGCCCATACACCTTACGATTATCTGCAGATTTTCTGTGGTCAGATGGAAAAAGTGCAACAGATTGGCCCAGGTGGAGATTACTCCATTCACGCAGTTTAGTGTAGATGGAGGAATCTGTTGCACCTTTTCCAGCTGACCACAGAAAATCTGCAGATAATTTTAAGGTGTATGTCCAGCTAAAGAGTCTGGGCAGACCACTGAGTTGATTGACAGCCCAGGGGACTGGTCTGTCATGCCTAACAACCTCACACTGACTGAAAGGCCAAAACTCAGAGCCTACCACACCCCACCACCTCCTATGCAAATGAGAACTAGGTTCAGCTTATGAACCCCCCTTTACAGCCATTAACCACAATCCCCATTGCAGCAGCAGGGTCCTATAAAAAGTCAACCAGGAGTTCAATTCTGTAAAGTCAACTTTAGGCTATAGGGTGGTTGTAAAGCCACCCAATCCCTTCCATGGGCAACACAATATCCCCCCCACCCATGTTCAGCTGCCCTTTCTGGGTGCTGGGATGTCAGTGGGGAGAGTTTTAATTGGCGCATCCGGCAAAAGCCAACATGTGTTGCACAATTGTTGTTTTCGTACGCAGGTGCACTCGACTAGTTTCTTTTAGTACGCACATGTTTGCGGGGCATTACATTTTTTTTAGTATTTTTCATTTTATTGTATATATTTTTTTTATACTTAACTTTATTGCTAATACATGGAGGGGCTCACAAGCCCCCTATGTGATGGCACATTAGAGAGAGGACAGGTTCTCGTCAAGGTGACATTAGGTGTCCATTAGATCCCTAGTGTCATCTTTCCACCTCACAAGCTTTAGCTAGGGAATGACGGCTTAATGTAAACCCCACAGGCAGAGGCTGGGAGCAATAGCCAGCCTGCTATTGGCTCTCTCAAAAATCCAATAGCAGGATGGGTATTCCATTCCCCCACTGCCTGTTAATCAGCAGAGGAGGGACATGGAGATAGTGCTCTCACTGGGAAAATGTTAACATAGCAGCATTGTGAGAAGAGTGGATGTAATGCATCAGCCTCCATTTTTCCTCCTCCAAGTGCCCTGCCAAAGCTGTTCTATATGAACTGCGGAACGTCAGATTTTCATGAATTAAATAAAGTTTTAAGAATTATTGTCTGCTGTCATATTTGTGTAAGTGATGCCACCGATGGGTGATTTTGTTCATGCATCCCAGAGTTCAGCTTTAAAGTGTATATTATGGCAAACAATCCAGTATACCTTTGCAATAAATGCACATTTTCCAATTTGTAATCACTGAAAGTACAAAACAAATATACCTATTTACCAAAAATTCAGTGTGCTGCTACCTTCTTGTTTGGGCTAACAGAACCTCTCTATTGGCATCACATTCCATGAAGTGGTTCTCAGGTGAAGAGGCAAGAGCTGAATTTTCACATAAGCAGGTACTCAAATTCATTCAATTAGCAGCAGAGGGAGAAAGCAGCAAGGTTTGGTATTTTAAAGCAACAGAGCCACTGTCAGCCTAAACATGGTGAGGTGCACAATGGCAGATAAACAGGTGCTGGCATGGTTTTTAAAAGGATAAAGTATGTGGAACTGTGTCTATTGTAAATATTTACTAAATGTACGAAAATACAAGCCAATAGCGCCAGAGTCAACCACTCCACTGAAGATGTATGCACGCAGAAGTTCTAGAGGTGGCTGCCCCACGTCATGGAGACTATCTGATAAAACAAACAAAAACAGGGGGCACCTTCCCTAGTGTAGATGATTTTTATTGAGCAAAGGCAAAAATAGAATACTCACAAAAGAGTAGATGACAGTAAGTCTTCAAAGTCAGAAGTAGAAAGTCTTAAAAGCAATAGCAAGGTTCTGAGGAAGAAACGCGTCAACCGAGGCATACGGTGTTACACAGGAACTGTCAACTGTGCAGCTCTCACATGCTGTGTCTTGCTTTTGTTAAGACTGATGATCAACTTCTGACTTTGAAAGCTTCCCGTTATCTACTCTTTTGTGAGTATTATTCTATTTTTGGTATTGCTTAATAAAAATAATCTACACTAGGGAAGGCGCCCCCTGTTTTTGTTTATGTACTGTGTTTTAATAAAAAAAAAAAAAAAAAAAAAAAAAAAGTTATTGCACAATACTAAATACATTTTAAATGCAGGGCTGACAAGATGCAAACAGCATGGTCCCCCCTTCTGATTTACACACAATATTTTTATATACCAGAGGAGGGAACTGAAGGAGAAAGTTCTCCTTCAGGCCCTCCTCTGGTGATTGACAGCAGGCAGGTGCAATAGACAGCCTGCTATTGGCTTTTGCAATTTAAAATATACAATAGCAGGCTGGCTATGGTTTGCAGCCGCTGATGGGAGACTTTATGCCGGTCTTCTATCAATCCCACGAGTCCAAGGAACACCGGCACCGGGTGAATGCAGGGTCACCTCAGGCTCTTCTCCCCGCTGGTGCCGGCTGCAGTGGTCTGTGTCCCCGCTGCCTCTGCCAATACAGTCGGGGAGAGCAGCGGGGATTGAAAGGGACACAGACCGCTGCAGCCAGCACCAGTGGGGAGGAGAGCAGGGGAGAATAGCTGCGGCAGCAGCAGCTGTGACTAATCGAAAATCAACTAATTAAAAAGGAGAACTATGGGGTCAGGGCTTTTCCCCCTAGTTCTCCGAGACGGATCCTGACTTTACTGTCGAGATCCACCCAGCTGCGGATTGACAGCTGGCTCTGCCTATCTATAGGCAGAGCCATCTGTACCCGCCCCCTCCCCCGTCCATTCCGCCAGTCAGTGCTGGAGGATCTGAGCGGGGAGGAATGCCTGCAGGGAGCTGTGACTGATGGGTTAAAATGTATTTTAAGTTTCTGTAGCGGTTTAAGGTGTCCATTAACCCTTTCAGTGACAGTCACGACTCTCTGCAGGGATACATAGAGAAGTGAGCGAGCGACGTTGTGTTTGCTCACTTTCTGATCTATTGCGCTGACCTGTGACAGTTTTATTGTCACAGGTTGGCAAGAACTATGAGGCTGAGTGATTTTCACTCGCCTCATAGTTCTCCTTTAATGAGAATCGTTGCCAACAATCCTCATTACCTATTATAATCAATTTCATCGATTAGTTGTTGCAGCCCTAATTTTAGCAAAAATATCCCACATATACATACTTTTAATGTGACACTAACCTCAGGAGTTAAATCATAAAAATTGAATCAAGTACCTTAACTATTAACAAAAATTTATCTTAGTGTATCACTCGGCTGTAGATCCTCAAATTAGGGCTGCAACAACTAATCGGCATAATCGATTATTGAAAAAGTTGTCAACTTTCTCAATAAATAATCTCTGGATTGGTGCGGTGGACTGTCGGCACTACAAACCTTTGTATTAGTAAAGTTTGGCATATTTTCCACGCCACATTGCAGGCAAGAAACTGTGCCCAGTCTTCCCTCAATAAAAAGTCACTCAGATACCGTGCAATGTGGATACGCGGGAAGCATAGCACAATAGAGGCAGAATGGCAGGACCACAAACGGAAAGTGCTAGGGACCCACAGCAAATCAAGACTTGGAAGCCCAAGGTTTGCAGTTGAACTGGGTATTTGGAATGGGTCTGGCTTTGGAGGTGAAGGCCTGGAATTAAAAGGAAAAAAAAACTCTTCTTGGACTTCGATGGTGGACGAGCGTCTTTCTTTGTATGATCACTGACAGGAGACTCATGCAGACAATGAGAAGGGTGTTATCTACTAACCTGTCAACACAATAGCCTAGAGATGCTGGCATAAGCATAAAACATTTCACAAAAAGGGGATCAGTTTGAAGGGAAACTAGATCCAGTCATAGGGCCCTAGTCCATTCTCCTAAAGTTTGACAGACTAGCATCACAGCCAATGTAAGTTTAAGGCAGGGCCATCCAGAGAAAGCAAGGTTTTGGAAAAGATCTCCAAAATGCTCATCAAGAACAAGCTGTCAGAAACAGGGGTTTCCTCTACAGGATCGTTTGGGCTTACGATTGTCCCAATCCCTCCAAAGGATGTTTTGGACTAATGGAACATAGGGAAAGTCTTAGTAGTCTTTGGGCCTCCAGGAAATCCTAGACAGATAAGCAGAATTTGAGAGACTTTTCATCAGCCTCATCAGCAGAAGGTTCAGGGCTGCTAAAGCCACAGGCAGATTAGATTAGATTTTGTAGGGCAAGCCACTGAAGTACACTTTTGGCCTTTTGGTGAGAATCGGTAATTAGGATTGCATTGTGTCCCATGAAATCCTGCATAACTGCAGTGAAAACCCCCTTCCCCGGAGCAAGCTAAGGAGGGAATCAAGCCTGAAAAACAAAGCAAGACACGAAGGATAGTAAATACTCAAGCACAGGACAAATGTCCAGACTGTCTGCATCAGCCCTTTAATGGGTGCACCTTAGCCATAAATAGTACTCACAAACCAGCTACTGTAAGGAAAGATTCAGATGGCCAGAGGTGACTAGTTCACTGTAGGAACACAGCAAAGACCAACTGAGAAAGATTCCCTTTTCACTTGAAAAAAGGAGTAGAGGGAGAGGTTCTCACGCTGAGTCCAGTGGGTTCCAGATACAACCTCCAAGTCTAATGCGAAGAAAACAATCCTGATAGCTGCGTATAAAGACCTGCTCATGGAGCATGTAGTAAAATGCTTACCGTGGGAAAAAAAAATATTCTTGTACAAAAAGAAAAAACACACTAGTAAAAAAAATGAGGCAGGAGGAGTTATACCGACTGGTCACTTATTCTTTTATTCCTAGTGTCTTGCAGGAAGCAGTATTACCCAACTGTCTCTTAATCCTGTGTCCATCAATGAACAAGAACACTTCCCTTTCGGAGAAAAAAAAAAAAAAAATATTCTGGTGCGTTAGCCCTAAATTGAGATTATAGTTAAGATTATGCACCAACTTTGTCAGGTTAAACCAAACCATAAGCATACCAGAGATTAAACGCAAAGTATAAAACAGTTTATACTTAATGTGCATTAAATTTTACTCTAAAAACATTTCATGCAACTATAGCTTTCCCACAAAGGTTTGGTAATAATGGGGCAGTTCCTGATGCAAACAGTGAAATTACTAGAGCAATGTGCCACTGACATGCAAAGTTACAAATCAAGCATTGACTGAGCAGAACAGTCTTCTAAAACAGACCTTCGGTATGAGATTCTGTTGCGGCTGCTGCCTCATCCCAAGAATCTTCAGTGCCATTGACAGCTTGTGAAACTTCAGTGTTTCCTTGTGGAATTTCCTGCCATACTTTGGCATTTGGATTCAAACCAGCACCTTTTGACGCCACCTAAAAAAAAAAAAAGTTAAAATGAAACATCAGCACAGGTTCACATTTTGAGCACTGTATTATAATTATATGTGAATTCCAGACCTCTTTTAAAAGGACAATTTTTGTCAAAAATCTTCCTTGATTATCCTAATTGTTCTACAATATTGAAAGTCCTTTGGAGTTGGGGCCTGCTCACACCATGTCAGGACCAGACCTGGGTGCATCTCTGCAAACCTGGTGTAGTGCATTTTTGACGTGTGCGGGTGATTTTTTTTTTTCCAGCGTAAAATGGGCAGGTACGGTCCAGTGCATTAGTTTGTTTGTTTTGGTGCATTCCATACCAGAAAAACAAAAAGATGCAGCACTTTTTTTCACCGCACCAGAATGGACTGCACAGGTGTGAACAGAGCCCAGAAATCCCATATTGGGATGCATTTTTGGAGAACAAAAAAAACACAAAAACATTCTGGTCCGGACATGGTGTGAACAAGTTCTTAGTAGAGGTGCACCGAAATGGAAATTTTAAAACTGAAATTAAAAAAGAAAATTGTCAGGACGAAACCGAAATTTTTTATTTTTTTATTAAATATTTGTATTTTTTTTACTTTACTTTTAGGGGCTTCAGGGAAATATTAGGAGTCTAAACAGACCCCTGATATTTCCTTTTTACAATAGAAAAAGAGACTGAGGACACAAAGTCCTCAATCTCTTTTTCTCTATCCCGTTATTAAAGGAGAACTATGGGGTCAGGGCTTTTCCCCATAATTCTAATTAGGGTCACGGGAGAACACAAACTAGCATCCTCCCGCCACCCAAAGCTCAGTATATCGCGCTCAGTATACCGACCTGACCGTTTCATTGTCACAGGTCGGCTCAGATTATGAGCCTGAGTGAAAATAACTCGCCTCATAATTCACCTTTAATGAACAGGAATCCTCTATACTGAGTGTCCCTGTTCATTGATAACATGAGAAAAGTGTTTACTATAACTACAACTATGAATGAACAGGAGGGGATGTAGATCACTTCCCATTTCATAATTGAGGCTATAGTCAACATACCATGTCCTCAATTATTTACAACCACACAGAGATCACTGATCGCTGAGTGTTTGTACCTTGCTCTCCTCTGACACGCTGTCACAGGAGACCGAGCGAGCGATGTAGGGAGGAGAGCTCAGCCTCCTGTGACAGCGCGGCCTGTCTCCGTCTCCACACACCGCTCTGCTGGACTGTGATAGGAGGCTGAGCGGTGTGGGAGGAGAGACACCGGCCACCCACAACACTCGGCCGGCTGTCACAGTTTCCCTCCATCCCGCTGAGACACAGAGCAGCGCCCAGCGGGGAGGAAAGAAAGCAAAGATGCGCCGATCGGCAGGAAAATGGCACTTTCGGCATTATGCCAAAAGTGCCATTTTCGCCCAATATATCGGTGCATCCCTAGTTCTTAGAGATACAAGAAGCCAACTTGGCTTAAAGTGACCTTTACTCCAGCACATCCCATATATCTTTTTTTCATGTGTGCCCACATACAACCCATACCTCCCATGCAGCAACAGATCACTACTAGTAGTAATCTATTGCTGGCAACTGCTCCCCATCCTGAAGTCAGGTAAAAATATATTAAAATCTAAGTGCACACAAACGGTCTTAATATTTTTTGGGAAAGAAAAGCGAGCCAACTAAATATATGCCTAGTATGTCAAGACTGAAAACTGCATGCCCACACTTTACTCAAGGGTGCACCACTCCTATCGCCCAACACCCAGGATATGCAGTGCCATGCACCAGGCAGGTAGGTTTTCTTTCTACATTTAGCCCTGCTGTGGGCAAGCAGGGCTAAAAGAGCTGGGGAGCAGCAACTTATTTTGTATAAGTGATCTGGGTAGCAGCATTTCCATCCAGAGTTCCATTAAATTTTCACCAAGATCTTGTAATGATGGGAGGGTCAGACCACTGTGTAGATTCTTCTCCAGCACATCCCAAAAATTCTCAATGGAGTTAAGGTCTATACTCTGTGGTGTTTCGACAGATGTTCTCCAGTCTGCTATGTGTGATGAGTGAAATTGGAGTGCTGTAATCACAGCAGTTCCGGTCTCCGCTGTCACAGGCCGGACTGCACAGGAGATCGAGCACAGCATTGTGCTCATTCTTCTGTATTGGAGGGCACCTTCAAATGCTATCACATATGGGCTTGTTTACCCGTGAGATAGAAATAAGTTAAGTGCCAAAAATAAAATACAAATAAAACCAACCAGAGCCATCTAATCCACTGTGCGCCATATTAAAAGGTAGATGGGCAGTATGGATTTTTAATTTTGCTCTCAAGTTGGGAGCACTCACTGGTCAGCATGGTCACCTAACTGTACTGACCAACAAGAAGCACTTCTTGGCACAGTTAAATACGGTTTGGGTTAAAATAATTTTTATTATCACAAGTAGATTGTCATGAGGGACAAGGAGATTGGGCCCCCGCTTTAGTCCTTGGGCAAGTTTTTTTACACTTAATGGCATTGCTATTACATAGGGGGATAAAGATACCCCTATATAATAGCAAAGGCACACTGGTCCTCTAAGACCCGTCACCTGAAAAGAAGCCGATGAAGCAGAGATCTGCTTCATCAGCTTCTCTCTGGCAATAGCAGCCAGATGACTGACAGGTAAATGCGGAAGTGATTTATTTACACATTACTTCCGCATTCACAGCACGGAGGGAGGTCAGCAAGGAGGAAGATGCTAATCTCCCTCCAATTTTGGACGGGTGCGCCTACTTATAAAAACAACGAATGCGCTACACATGTTGGGTATCGCCGCGCACGCCGGAGAGCAATAATTCTAGGGCCAGTATTTTTGAGTATCTCTAAATTGATGACCTGTGGGGGCTTTTAAAGCATTGTCTATGGACTTTGAGGTACTGACGTTTGCTGCCATTTCACGCACGCACGCAATTTTTAACCTGGGCATGTTGGGTATCTATTTACTCGTTGTAACCTCATCTTTTTATATTTTATTTAAAAAATTGGTATTTTATTGTGTTTTGGTGCATTTAAGTACATTTTCACTAAATGTTGGGGTTTGATAAGAAGTTGCGCTAATATCGTGCAACATAAAAATTTGCAGCTGCAAACATTTTATTCTATAGGGTCTTGGCTTTCAGAAAATATATAATGTTTGGCGGTTAAGTAATTTCCAGGCCTAAAATGTGGAATATAACATGGGCCCAAAAAATGAAAAAAAAAAAGGCCTCAGTCATGAAGGGGTTAAACAAACTGAAGAGAAGCTGATTACTATGGGCAACTGCTCCAGTTTTGACTAATTTCCCCCAGCTTGCTATCCTAAAGTGTTTTGTTTTCCAGTCTCAGGCTCCCAGTAGAAGCAGGTGGCCCTGGACACCGCCTTTTCCTCCAGGGAAAGTAGTTTTGGGACATAAATTGTCTTTCTAGCACACAGGCCAGTATCAGATGGCAATAACAGAGCATAGCAAGCCATTTTGCAGCTTTATCATATTGTTACTACAATAAACTGCTTAGAGTGATATGCAAGGACAATCAAAAAGATGACAACATTTCTGCATTCTACATTATTAACTGCATAAGAGCAATACCCAAAGACAAATCAGAGAAACAACTTGCATTGAGGTTTAGGGTTTAAACTAAATAGAGGATTTAAGACCCCAATGACATACAAGGCTTACGCTGTGCAAAATAGATAAATATATATCTAAGTATTCTGTACACCTAAGCTCCCTATACACTTGTGCTGCAGTGTAATGAGTTATTAAGCAGTAAGGGTCCAAGAATAAATATCACAAAACACAAAAATTGCCCAGCCTCAACCTGCCAGCCAGCCTGCAACCAAACAAATAGCCCTGTCAACAGTATGCGTTAAAATCAGAGGTTTTAGTTGCACAAACTTTTGGCCAAAAATATGTAGAAGCCACACTGCCGCGTCAAGGCACCTCTGCAAAGTGTGGTCCTAACTCTATGTATCCGAGTCTCTAAGTGTGAGCATATTAATGAAGTTAGGTTTTGTATTGTTGTAAGCCTTCCCAATGTGCGCCCTGCTATAAAGGCTGGTTATAGATTCATGCATGTAACATCTTTTCTAGCAAGAATAAATATCAAACACAACTATTACTTTAACAGATGTCAGGAGCACTCCCCAATGTTTGTACCGGACTACTCCAGCACCATGAGGCGTTTCGCGAAACTAATATGATTTGAGTTATGCAGGTCACTATTTCAATAGACTGTGCAACAGAAAAAGTCAAAATTAATTGCTACAGTGTTCTGCTATGAAGGCAGTGCTCAAAAATAAAAACAGACTTTTGAAATCTACAGATGTGTACAGATTTATTGTTACCTTCCAGCTCATTTTAAAGGTTTCATTACCACTGCAAAGTGATTAACAAAGTTGTCCAGGGTTGTAGTACTTTAACACAAGAAATCATGTCTAAAGGTCAGAGAATAAAGCAGCCATACATTATGCAAATTTTAACAGGTTCTTTAGGAACTGGCCAAAGTTTGCACAGTGGGTGCCATAGTCGGCACCCTTTCGGCCAGCATTCCTTGATCAGCTGATCGAAGGGGCCAGTGGGAAAATATTCAAAAGAATAGAGCCAGCAACCAATGAGCTGCCTGCTCTGTTCGGGTATTCCCACAGTAGCCGCCAATACAAAAGACACAGTGGGAGATTCCTTCATCAAGGCTTGTAAGCGTTGGAGGAATCTGTTCTTTTTTTGGTTCAGCCTGCAGGTTGAACAACAGAAAAAAAATAAAAAATAGAACAGTGAATGGCCAGCTTAAAACATGATGCAACACTGCCCCAAACCCCACACATTAACATATGTTGCAGTGGTAGTCAAATGTCCTGCCTGCTTTGGCAGCAACCTGGTTGATCAGCCCACTTACCCAAGTCATGCAAGAAATTTATACTGTGGTATCATTCAAACGCTACAATGAAGCATAGCTACCACAAAACCTTATGTAAAAGGGCCTAGTGATTTAACAATGTATTGTG